CCCCCCCCCCCCCCCCCCCCCCACTACCCGCGTTCTTGCCGTGACCCCAAGACCTCCCGGACGTGATCGACATCCTAGGGGTTAGCTTTGAGCGCTGGAGGAAAAACTACACCGATGGACCGGCGTCACTCTCCGCTACCGGGGTAGCTGCGAACGGCTCGAAGGTTGACGGCGATAAGATGGTGCTCTTGTATTTGCCCGGGATCGAGGGGCTTGGTACTTCGGTCGAGCCCCAGCTACCTGCTCTCTCCGAGAAGTTCGACGTGTTCAGGCTCATCATCGGGGCAGAAGATAGGTCCACCTTCTCAACGTTGTCCAGAGCGGTGAGCCTGTCGTTGTCTTCTCAGCGGGCACGAAAAGTTTGTTTGGAATTGATTTTGAGCAAGTGGATAGTAAGATGCTCAAATTCGCACTGAAAATGCGACTTTCTTCCCCGCCTGCCGCATGCACACGTTTGCTGGTTGTCGTAGTGCTAAGCATGTGCAGGCGACTCCGCTTTTGTTCCAAGAACGTGTTGAGTTTCGGTTGGTCTGTATTGTAATAGTAATTCCTGTCAATGGGTTAGTATCGCGACGTACGCTATGGTTGAGGTGCGGCAATTTTTGAATATATTGTGCGGCCTGCTACGTAACTTATTCGAAAGTGGCGTCTCATTGTCGTTTAGCCCAGCCGAAAACGAACCGCTAGGAAACTCTCTTTAGCGCACGTATTATCACACTTCCGCCGTAACGTACCGTTTCCTGAGGCGGGTACGCGGCCAGCAACGACCTTGCTATGTCGCGTGTGCTCGGTTTCCTGCGTCATTCGCCATTTCCAGGTGACTCAGTTCGTTGACGTTGCTAGCGGAAAGGGTGGTGGGAACCAGGAGAAGAAGACGGTGGTTCTCGGGGAGAGCTTCGGAGCTATGCTAGGCATCCGTCTTGGGCAGCTCAGGTGAACAGAGACAGACTGCCCTAGTTGCATGCTGTGGTGCTTCGTTTTTTCGGTGTTCCATCCGATATGTCTAATCGCAACCACAACGTAGTGACACCTTTCCAGTGGTCGATGTGTTTTTTTCTGCTTCGACAACAACGCATCTGTCGGTTTCCATGATTGATGTGGGTACACTGTACCCACGCCAGTTAATGTAAGTGATGACGCCGCAACGTAGTTGTTTCTCGCGGGTAAGCGGTCGAGTTCAAGGGTTCGTTCGTCCCCCATTCGTCGTTGAGTTTCGTCCACCTACCGTCTACACTCACCCACAGAGGACGAACGAAAGTAATGTCTCAACGTCCATGGCAGGAGACCACGGGCGTTGATATGTCAAATGAACTGCTCGGGCGTTTTTTCGTTGTCTTTGCTTTCCACTCTTGTCCCCTTTGAAGAAGCATGCCTCCCCGTCTCTCCCACTTTCACCACAACGAACTCCAACCGTCCGAGTGCCAATCGATTGTCGGCAGACCGGAGCGTGTACAGGCGGTCTTCGCCGTAAACCCGGCCACGAGCTTCGGCCGCACAGCGTGGAGGTCTCTGGGTCCTCTCTTGTCCCTCGCCCCCAAGAGCCAGTACAAGGCCGCGTCGGTGGCGGTGTTCGCTGCAACCATCCCGGATGTGTCCCAGGTACCAACGCTGAGAACCCGGTCGCCGTTTTTGTCGTCCTGTTGGTGATCACCGGTTGCCGTGTTCAACGTGTTTTTCCTTTCCTGTGTTGGCTTGGCCGCATGCTGGATGTCGTGCACGATTATTTTCTTGCATGTCCCGTTTGATCGCCCGCTCATGTTTCGTACAATATCAAAACTCAGTTTTTTCTTGACTACCGGTGCGTAGATACTTATTTTGACGAAGGCCTCAAATTCAGGGCACGTTGTGGCTTGGACAATGTATATATTCTTTGTTCGATGCCCTGACCACAGCCTTATTCCGGTGAGTATAGAACTTGCGTGACGTTCACCAATGTTAAGAGCAATGAAGCTAGGTTCGGGGCGGCGGGTAACATAAGACGTGCTTGTATCATGAATGTACAGCAGTTTCAGGGCGACAGGCGTATGTAAGATATTGATTACAGGTGCAGCGCTACATGTTTGTCGCCTGTTCGTTTTTTTTCTGACCAGATGATGAGCGTGGTGGACGTCATGATCGACCCCAACAACGGAATTAAGGTCACGGACAGACCCAAGGCCCTGGCCGACAGGCTGGGGGGGTTGTGGGAAATGATCTCAGAAGTTTCCGAGAACCTTCCCCCGGCGACTTTGAGATGGAGGATCCAGAACTGGCTGGCTGCGGGACAGGGCCGTGTCGAAAGGGGGCTTGCAGACATGAAGGTGAAATAGCTTTCGTTACTTCGGTCCGACCTGTTATTCTACAGTGGACTTCAATGTTCAACCATTCACACATCACAAGGCGATATTTGTTTGATTTCGATAGAAAACAGTGGCGACAACAAAACGTTTCGGAGAGCTTTTTTTCAAGCGTTGCCTACGACTAAGAGAAGCAATGTAGGGTGGTCGATTCACTGTTGTAACATGTTTCTACGTTTTCTGAGTGCGCTGGTGTTGATATTGGTGTGCATAAAAACTCGTCAATATTTTTTCTCCCTGCTGCAGCGCATGGATCACATTTTTACGTTTCACAAGGCGCAAATAACGATAATACATAGTTAAGTACGTACCACATTCCCAGTTCACTTTATGCGGAACCAAGCGTGCACTCACGCCATTGTCATTGAAGGTTCTGCGTCGAGCAACATGTAATCGTCGAAATCTGGCACCACATTTTGCGAGCAAGCCCCCTCACTCTTTCCACTGTCTCCACTCGGGTTGGTTGGTGCCTGATTTCGGCGAACGCAGGTTCCGGTGGTCGTTGTTGCGGGGTCCGCGGATAGGCTCCTGCCCTCGGTGAACGAGGCCGAGCGTCTGAAGAACCTTATACCGGGATGCCGGAGCATGGTGCTCGAGGGACACGGACACGCTCCACTCTTCGACGGCCGGGTGGACATGTCACAAATCATAGCCGGAGATTCCGCGTTGGAGGGCGTTGTTTTTCCGGAGGGTGACACTGAGGTGAGTCGTGCCGAGCAGTTGCACCAAGCTGCTGCTTGATCGTCTGATTTTCTGTAGATATCCCACTAGTTGGGAGCGCTTGCTTGGCGTCGGGTTGCCTCCAATGTATCTGTCCGTTGGTCGGTTCAGAGGTTGGGTGGATTGGAAGAGTGCAAGCTTGCCTACCGGTAATTCATCGTCTCGTATCCGGCCGCGCCTTTTACACCAAGAGCTTCCTGGTGCGTGTCGCGGGCCGTTTCTCTAATGTACCAGCAGCACAATGGAGATGAAGAAGGACAAGGCAAGGACATGAAGTCGCTCTTGTCCGGGGTGTACTCGAAGGACTGGGTGAACGACTTCGTCGAGCCTGACGCGAGCGTGATTGAAGAGGGGAGAAAGACGATCGACTTCCTCTTGAAGAGGTGAGAATTTCGTCTCGTCGACGACAAACCAAACCCCAAACGACCCCATGGCAAAGAAGAACGATGACGATCACCAACGATATTTTTCGTCAGCGTCTGCATGTTAGCAACAGTCACCCTGAAGCACGACTGCTAACGCTGGGCTCTTTTGTCAGAAAGGTACTGAACGGGCACCATGTTCGCTGTTGGGTTCCCAAACCTGCCCGGTCGCACTTATCCGTAAGCACGTGAGGGCATGAGGAACTGCGCCGCCGCCAGATCTTTGTTTCCTCCCGAACGACAACCTCCCGAGAAAAAATAGGCTGTCACTAGATACAGCGTGTCTTGTGGCTATGATCTGTACCCAAAGCCTTGGTCAACTTGAGGGGCTCGATGGATGTACAGTACCATTTCGAAAGAGAACGCAACGCTTCAGTTTCATTGGTAACCCTTTCCACGCTCTTTTGAGTTTCTGGTGCGTTACCGGGACAAGCCTGCCGTACTAAATAGAGTACCAAGCTGAACGAAGCGATCAAGCGAGAGAGCATTGCTGTCAGCGTCCGTCGGTAGGTTTTCTTTTCGTTCAATTTGCCGCCGTTGGCTTCGGCTTCGAAACTCATTACCTCGTAGATGAAAGTAATAGTTTCATGGACCTGTAAACGACAACGAATCGCGCGGCTTTTGAACTCCACTCACAGGCCACTGGGCACAAGCTACTTCCTGAATTTTCGTCCTTCTCTGATTTTCCGCTCTTGTGATGTGGCACTCTTGTCAGCGTGAGCCCGGTTTTCTTCTCCACCGGCGCTGACGGCGTCACCGTGTCCGGGCTGTCGGAAGTTCCTGATGGAGACAACTCCACGAGCCGACCAATCATATTCGTCGGGAACCACCAACTCTTGGCGCTTGACCTGGGGGTCATCGTGGAAAGGTGGGCATTGAACTCCGATTATCTTGATGCCAGCTGTTTAAGTTGGGCTGTTGGTTGCGCTTCCATATGGCGATGTAACCTCAGCTAACCCTAACCCATATGCGTTCTTTTTTCAAATGCAAAGCTGTCGACGATTTTCTCTAATGCAAGAGGGTACGACGTTTTGGTCCGGCCGACCCACGTCCCAGTGTGAATTTGATAATCAGCTTCACCTACACTCGCGGTGTTCCAGGGCTTGCTTCCTTTGTGTTCTTTATAACTGCCGATCTAGCCCTCGACACTCGAGCCTCCATTCTGAGGTGATGCGGCGGCAAATCTTGGCCAGACTGAATTGTTAGGTCTGACGAGTACCCTTGTTTTGCTTCCTCCCAGGCTGTTCTCTGAGAGAAAAATTCTGGCCAGAGGGCTTGCCCACCCGATAGTGTTTATGGGCCGAACCACCCCTCGCGCTTTAGACGGTGTGGTGGATGGTGTCGTCAAGTCGAGCGAGGAGCAGAGTATGACTGAAACCGGCGAGATGAACAGCAGCAACAGCAACAACGTCAGCAACAGCGAGAGCAAGGACAGCGCTGCAGGTGGACAAGAGAAGGCAGGGGAGGCCCAAGGAAAGGACGAGAACGGTATGCAAGCGTTCTTCACGAAGGTTCGTCAGCCAGGCCTGTATTGCCGGGAGAGAGAGAGAGAGAGAGAGAGAGATTTAGCTGTCTGTTGGTGACGGTTAGGAATGACATGAGATATATTTTTGCAACATGGAGCACTGAATGATCTGGTGCAGGGATGGTAAGAACGCGGATCTCAACAGATATTTGCAGTGCTATTTGGGATACCATTGCCGCCGGCGTGAGTGTCTTGGGTAGGGACGGGGTCATGCCTCTGTCCAACCATCACATGCATACCTTGAGAACGTACTGTACACTTGGTAGCTCTGGTAGTGATGCCATGCATGGAGTATGTGCTTCCTCAACAGCTTTCGCTATCTCTCGCTCTCTCTCTCTGTGTCACAAGTGTTTTTTCCTGCGAAAGGCATTTCTCGATCCGTTGTCCGGCCCCAAGGAGGCTACTGAGCGAGCGCTGTCTAATGATAACATGAATATGTCTAGAGGAGATACGTTCCATCGGTGCTTCTCCTCGCGACACGTTGGTTTGTTTGTGAAGAGATCTCTGTCGCACAGCTCCGTGTCCTTTTCGAACATGCCAGGTGAGCTTGCGCACGCCACCTTTCGTTGTTGAAACGTGCCGAACTTCTGCGCCACCCGTGTGTTGTCTCGTTTCTTTTTTTCAGTTTGGGGCGGTGCCGGTGTCCCCGCGAAACATGTACCGCCTGCTAAAGAGAGGGGACAACGTGCTGCTGTTCCCCGGTGGAGTTAGCGAGGCATACCACAGAAAGTGAGGGCCAACGTTTGCATTGCATGCGTCGCAAGCTGTTTTGCGTGAGGGGATGGGTGGAGTTGTTGTGCCCCTCCCCGGTTGGTCGTGCAACGTCCAAAGCAATGAATCACCGGTGGTGTTTTGGTCGGGGGTTAAGATCGAATGTTGGACATGCTCACCGAGATACCGTTTCTGTGTATCCTCCGGGACGAGACGTACTTGCCTGGAACCAGGGGCGCTGTTCCTGTTCGGTGCATTGCTTCGGTTGGGTGTCACGACCTGATTGCCAACATGTTCGTCGCATCGCGAACAAAACAGGCATCGTGTGGTCGTGCCTATACCCCACGAATGAAACGATACGGAGAAGTGCACGTTCTCATTAAACCAACATCATCACGTTTCTCACCTGTCTTGGCGTTACTGTTTGGCCTGCGGACCGCGTCTCTTGGTGCAATCCACGGGCATCATCTTCCTGGTAAAACTTTCCTGCAACATGGGATAGACATGAATCATTTTTGTGCGGAACTGCTATCGACATGAACCGTTTTCGTGCTGAACGACTAATCGATATGGCACAGGGGCGAGGACTACAAGCTGTTCTGGCCGGAGAAGGCCGAGTTCGTTCGCCAAGCCGTCGCCTCCGGCGCTATCATCGTTCCCTTCTCCGCCATTGGCGTCGCCGATAGGTACGCGCTCCATGTTCTGAGCTGGAAGAGACAGGCAGGACTCAAACGTTTGTGTATGGCGAGACACAGACTATTTGACACACTACAGAATACTTGGACCGGAATGTTCACGTGTTGACAAGGTTGAGAATCGGCCGTCAATCTGGCGCGACATCGTCATTCCGGTGACAGCGATCATCTGGGTTAGGGTTAGATTTCAAACACCGGTGCATTGCATCGAAGAAATCGTCGTTTGATAGGTAGGGAAGCTGCAAGAGAGTCATCCTTTGTTCGTCAGCCCGTGTGTATACGGTTACGAACGATACTCCGATGTCCGTGAAAATCGATTGTTAGGTTATCCTCAGGCCGTTTCAACATTTTTTGCAATGTTTGAAAGAACAGCTCTGAGCCATCGCTAAGTGTCGCACGGTGTTGAATGGATGAAAAGAGTAGGTTTCTTGTGCATGCACGTCACATGTGTTTACACCGATGCGGCCTGGCACGTTGCTACCCTTTCAACGGACGATCACTCTTCTTTTAACATTTCCCTTCAAGTATTGTTCCGCCTCTGATGGCGGTTGGATGGTGCTTCAGGTTTTCCCCTCGACCAGCTTCCCAATGCTCTGATGAAAGCGAGGATAGGGTATTAACATTGTTATTCAGGGCTGTCTCCCGAGAGTTTTGGAAACGACTTGATCATGAGGCAGTGACACTCTGTTTTTTCATGGTAATCGCGTATCAGCCTGGAGATGGTTCTCGACGGGGATGAACTCCTGGACTTGCCCATCATTGGAGACCGCCTGCGGAAGTCAAGCGCAGCTGCACCCTCTGCGAGAGGTATGTCCTCGGTCTTCATGTCGTGATGCGTGTGGGATGAAGAAGTTCAAGGGTCGGCCTTGTACGCATTCGTTCGTCGATATTCCGGTGCTCACGCCAGTTCGAACAAGTGTGCTGCTTTGTTTACAACTTTTCTTGAGGAAAGCTGCAAACCTTTACACCGTAATCATGCATGTGATGCATGCATCGGGGTTTTCTCAGGAATCGGAAACATCGCACTGTGGGCAATAGAACACCACGAGCGACATGGATACTCCATGTTCGATGTCCTCATCGATATGGGGTGCTTCGCACGGGGGTCTTGTGTACAGCCCGGTCGCACCATTAATGTAGCTGTGGGTGTAGTTTCCGGCGTGACACCTGTCGGAGACGTCACACGGGAGTGCGTTCGAAACGCTGGAACGAAGCTGATCTGTAGTATTTCCGCACCGGTAAAGTACGGGGGTGTCGCACCAACGTGACGAAAGTCAAAATAACCAGACGTAAACGCGATCGGACCCTGGCGCCAGCACGCATTTGGACCATGCTCGCAGCAAGCCCCACCGCCTTTTTTCTGCCGGGTGCCTGTGCGTGCTGTGGTTGAATGTGCATCTATCATGTGCATCGTTGTTGCAAGTGATGCCACACGTGCGGCGTTTGCTCGTTAGTTTCTTTTATCCTGATCAAGTCGCCTGCAAATATTCTTCAACCATCGAGCAGCGGAGCTAGTGTCGGTCTGTCGAGGCGTAAGAATGATTTCTGCAATACTTTCATACTGTGAGCGTTGTCGGGAGGGGGCCTGCAGGCGGACTCCACGGTTTGTGCAGTGTCTGAATGCCGCGGGGGGGGGGGCGATGTCCTTGAGATACATCGGAACTCAAGAAACTGCTCACTCTCCTATTGCTCCCGGAGCTTCCAGCCGAGCGCGCGCGCCGATCGGGAACTTGAACTCAAATCTTCGCCACAAGCAGCACATCCATGTATTGAATTCCCCCGGCCCCGCTCCCTCCTTCGTGCCGATTTTCAGGTGGGAGCTCAAAAGAGCAGTTCGTGTCCCCACTGGTGTTGCCGAAGCTTCCCTCTCGAGTGTATGTCAGATTCGGTGAGGCGATCACCCTTGAAGGCCTGGACAAGAGCGATAAGGAAGCTTGCCAAGAGGTTTATGAGACTGTCAAGGTAAATGCCATGTATACAGTACTGAAACCCTTCCGTGTTTTTTGTTTGTGGGTTTACTCCCGCGCGCTTGGGTGACTCCACTGTCTCCCTCCGACCGTCTTCGATCACTTACTTTCCCTTGTAAAGCTAGTGGGGTACCCACGGTGTGGGAGTTTATCCTTGCAATTTTATGCCTGATCAGGGGATGAGACCGAAATGCTGTACTTTGGGACCCAAGCTCACGCAACCCTTCTACCCTTCCTACCTTCCAGGACGAGGTGGAGCTAGGCATCCAGTCATTGCTGAGAGCACGAGAGCAAGACCCTTACCTTGACCCGACAACACGCTTGCTCTACGAGCGGGTGAAAGGGGAGGCCGCCCCTACGTTTCCTGCCTCAGTTCTCGATGCCGCAGTATTGAGAACAAGGCTTGCTCGGGAAGGGAAACGACGAAGGCAGAGGCAAAGAATTGTTGCACCGGCCACGACGGAGAAGCCTGTGGAGTCGACAGTTGGGGTGGGCACCGCCGCGGCTGACAAGTTGGCGGACAAAGTAACCGCTGTGGCCCCTGAACCAACGGAGTAGAGTTGTATACAAGACTACAGGCATCAATTTTGTAGGCAGCAGGCGGAAGAAAAACGCAGCAAGGGAATGGATTGCGATGGAATTCGGAAGGGGGACATCGCAAACGGATTAGAAGAATGGGATTGGCAGCTTGAATGGTTGACAAGGTAAATGCTGAGTGGTACGAGCTAGGGAAGGTGGAGTTGTCATAAGCATGGGTCACATGGAGATGGGAGGAGAGTAGGTGTGGAATGGCATTCTGTAGCGTTATTGATGTCATATTATGCCAACCGTAGAGAAAGAGGAGCGTTGAGCGGCCTCGAAAGCCAGCAGAATCTGAACAGGAACGAAACGTGAAACATTTCAGAATCAGGTGCATGTAGGCGAGTGTTCTTAGCCAATTGATCACTGCTGTAGACCTCTTCTGTGCTGTGTGAGCTTCTGGCTACGGAGAGTCGGCTAGGGGTGGTGCGACCTTTTTGGGTAAATTTCATCATGCAATATTATGATGAACGATATGGTAATACTGCTGTGACAGTAGTACTGAAGCTTTTGAACGAGTCTACCGTTGGAAACGATTGTGAGACACGTGAGGAAATGGCCCGTACATGTGGAGTTTGACGACACGTTTGGGTAGCCTTTCCGAAACGGCAGCCTGCACGTGTGTGCTGCATAGTTGTGCGGCTCCGGGGATGGCAATCTCGCATGTCGCCCATCACACAGCAAGTTTCCGTACATGGCGCAAGATAAAACACCCAAGCTCGACTTCTCTGCAAGCGATCACAGCCATGGTGCCGAACAATGGTGGTGTTGGGACAGTCTCGTCGAGCGCACTCCGCAAACGTACCTTGAACCTGATACCCTCTTCTTCGTAGTGAAATGTGTCGCTTTGAAATTGGTCCCGGGGTAAGGTGTCTCACGCGACCTGAGCTCGCACGTTTTCCAGGGCAACTAAACAGCAACCCCAATCATATGCACTACACCCGTAGCCATTCGGCTCACCCTGTGCGGACCTTGCAGGCAAGTAGACCCTGTACGGACGCTGTGACACCCTGCCAAGGTAGTCGGTCCCCAGAAGGTCCACGGGCAGGAACCCTGCCAGGGTGTCGACGCTTCCTGGGGTTGTATAAGCAGATCTGTGGACCGTGAAAGGACTTCAAGTTGCGTTGCCATCGCCGAGAAGGAAAGATCTTGTGATATACGTATGCATAGCTGTGGATACTACACATGTAGATGGATACCGCTGTCGACAGACTACAGTATTAACTACACCCACAGATTGCACACATTGATCCGAAGGATAGTTTAGCCTCCCTCATGCTGCCCCCTCACGGGGTCCCAGTTCATGGCAGATAGAAGTGTTTCGTTTTTTCAACCGCACTGAGACTGACGTCTTTTCATTGGTCAGCCGGTTTGTTGAGTGGCTTGGTGGAAAGGGCTGTTGCCAATGTTTTTGTACATCTGGCTGTCTACCCATCTGCCGCCTCTTTGTCCTTTTTGCTCCGTTACTCCGATACCCTGGTGCGTAGTGCCTGGTGCTGGTACGTTACCCTTTGATTTTTTCTTTGGGCGGGTGTGGGAAGCGTCGTCCTTTATTTTTGTGTTCGTTAATTTTGATCGGTTTCCGAGGGCTCTTTCCTCGAACGGTCGGTGCGGCACCTGTTGTTTTTTTTTTCTTTTTTCTTAATATGACACAACGAGTCCATCTCTATCATAGAAAAGAGTCATGGACAAATTAACAATGGAATCATAGCGTCAGAGAAAACTACCTGTATGTCTACGATTTCCCAGACAGCATATAGGGACATCTCCCCTGCGGGTAACAGGCTCAACAAATCAGTTTGGCAGCTGTCTTGTGTGTCTCATATATGTTATTTATGTTGGGAAGGTGCAGACGAGANGGACATACAGTCTCCATCAGTTTACATACGTATTTTCAGTTTGGTATGCATATGTGCGGAGTATGTGCGGCTGATGTGCGGGCACACGGGAGTGATGTCACCGTTTATTGAAAAAAATAATAATAATAAATAAATAAATAAATATACAATGTAACTAGGTTTTTTTTTTGCGACAAGAGTGGCCTTCTAGGCTGTTTTTTTGCGACAAGAGTGGCCCGAGTAGGGGTACGGTTTTCGTTTTGCAAAAAAAAGCTGTATAGAGGGATCGTGTGTGGAGTATGTGCGCACGAGAAAAA